TTTTTTTTTTGGTTTTAGAGGCTTGAAAGGAGCCCTGGTAGCGCAGTGGTTAAGCACGTGGCTGCTAACTAAAAGGCTGATGGTTTGAACCAGCCACTTTGTGGGAGAAAATGTGGCTTCTGTAAAGATCTACAGCCCTGGAAACCCTGTGGGGCAGCTCTACTCTGTCCCATAGGGTCGCTATGAGTCTGCTTAATGGCAATGGATTTTATTTGTTTTAGAGGCATTGAACTGTAATAATTTTGGATAAGCACAGACTAATGATGGGTCAGGGTTTCTGAAGTTTCCCCAGGAGCAGACTTGAAACATTTCAGTTACAGTCCTCTGAAAACTGTCTTGTTTTGAGTGTTTGAGTACCTTATTTCTGGAATCCATGTCCCAAGAGTCTTTGCTCCTAGAACTCAGACACAGTTATTCACTCAGGAAATAGTTCTTATCAACTGTACCAATTTTTATGCTAAGTAATACATGTATACTAATAAATGCATTAAAACCTTTGCAGAATGTGTATCAAACTCTTAAGGAATGTATACTAAACTCTTCCTGAGCTGCATAAACTGCTAAGCGCTTGACTACCAGCTGAAAGGTTGGCAGTTCGAACATACCCAGAGATGCCTGGCAATGCAGGTGGCAATCTATTTCTGAAAGGTGACAACCCTGAAAACCTTAAAAGGCCATTCTACTCTGCATGCACGGGGTCAACATGAATCAGAATCCACTTGCTGACAACTAGCAGCAACTTCTTAACCAAGGGTTACCAGGTTTACTGAGACTATACACCAAAGTCTTAATAGTGGTGATCTTGGGGGACATGTCAGGGAGGGTGGCTGGAGTTTCTACACATGCGTTACTTTTGGAAGCAGGGGAAAACTACGGGTGTGGAGTCACAAAGCATTTGCAGACCTCTCAGCCTCAATGATTTGAGGTAATGCTGAAGAGAGGAGCGGGGCTGTGATTACTGAGTTTGGAGAAAACACAAGTCCCAGTTCTGGCTGGTACGGGAACGTGGGGCAGGAATCACGTGCCTGGACATGACTATCCCTCTCGTCTTGATCACCCTCCACTATCTTCTGCTCCATCATCCTCTGCCATTTCCTAGGGAAGACGAGCTTGATGGACAATCGGAGGGGCATTTTTTCCCCTTATTACCTTGACTTTTTTTTTTTTTTAAATTTTTATTGTGATTTGGGTGAAAGTTTATAGCAAATTCATTTTCCAAACAGCAGTTCATACACATTTTGTTTCATGACACTGACTGCAATTCCTTACAATGCAACAGCTCTCTCCTCACTTCCTCCCTGTAGTTACCTCTTCCCTGTGTCCTTGTTTCCTATGCATTCCTATCCCTCCAGCTATCTCCCTGTGCAAACACTGCCTTTCTGTTCTCCCATGACTGATTGCTCTAAGGGGTGTATCTACTTGATGTAAATGTTCACCCTATATGCCTGTCTATTGCTTGTCTGGAAGCCATGGGAGTGAGTTCAATTCCAGACCTGAAGGGAAACTAGGGGCCATGGTCTCAGGGTTCTCACCAGATTCTATCAGACAAGTAAATCTGTTTTTTTTTTTTTAATTTTTTTTTATGATTTTGAGTTTTGTTCCATGTTGTTGTCCCACCCTATCCAGGATCTCAAAGGGGCATTTTTTTTTTTTTTTAAATTAGGATTTGGGTGAAGATTTACAGAGTAAATTCACTTTTCATACAGCAGTTCACATATACTTTGTCTCATGTCATTGACCAAAATTTATAATGCAGCAGATCCCCTCCCACTTCCTCCCCATAGTTACCTCCTCCCAGTGTCCATCCCTTCATACTCTTCTGCACCCTGAGCTATCTCCCTGTGCATAAGCAGCCCTTCCTTCTCCCATGATTGTTCTCTCCAGGGCGTGTGTCTACTTGAGGTAAATGTTTAACTCACATGCCTGTACTTTGTTTGGTTGGAAACCACAGCTGTGGGTTCAATTCCAGACCTGAAGGGCAACTAGGGGCCATAGTCTCAGTGGTTACACCAGGCTCTATTGGACCAGCAAACCTGGCCCCCACCTTCTTTTTTTTTTTTTTTTTGCCTCCAAATGATTTTGAGTTTTGTACCACATTGTTCTCCCTCTTTATGCAGGATCTCCTACATCCCTTCCAAGTGGATGGCAGTGGTAGCTGGGCACCATCTAGTTCTTCTGGTCTCATAGTTGTATAGGTTGCAGATTGGATGGTGTACCAGTCGCTAGGACTGATTGTTTCCATTAATTTTGGTTTTCTTCTTTCTTCTTGACGAGGAGAGACCCGTTGTTGCATCTAGATGGCAGCTTCCTAGCTTTTAAGGTCCCAGTCGCTACTCGCCAAAGTAGTAGGTGGAACAATGTTTTGTATAGTATGTTACACCAATTGAGCTTGATGTCCCCTGCGACTATGGTCTCAAGCCCGCAGGATCAACTACTCGGTCCCTCTGGGTCGCTGGCTGTGACCAAGTAATGACCATAACCTTGCCCCTTGTCAGCTCTACTATACACCCGGGAATTCTGATCATTCACATGAACTTATAGGCCTATTGTCTGCCAACCCTATATATGATCTTGGATACACTCTCCATTTAGACTAATTGTTTAGCTTGTTCACCCATCTAACCGTCCCTATACCCATTCAAAATTCTCACCTTAAATCTTGGCCATTGTCATCTGATGAGACGTCATCGACGTGGATCTGGTCACAGTCCTGTGGAGAATTTGGCAAGAAGAGGAGAGAGAGAGACATGACTTGTTAATCTGATGCAGCTTCTAAGAACTCGTTGCAGGATCTGAGGGTGGAATGAGCACTGGCCTGGGAGTCAGAAGTCCTGAGCTCCAGTCTGGGCTTTGGTCTGAAGGTCAGGTGACCTTGGGTTAAGTCTCACCTCCTCTTTTGCCTTTGGTTTCCTTACAAATGAGCAGGTTGGCTATATGGAGGTTGATCATATAATTTATCATCCAAACCAAGATACCTAAGTGAAAGGAGCTTCTATTAATAACATTACATTGGGAGGACAGGTGAAAGTCAGGACTGTGGAAGGCTTTGCCTTCTCATGATGTTTCCTCTGCTTGGAAAGCTCTCCTGTCTTCCTCTTCTTAGTGACCCCTGTATTCTCAAACATTAGCTTCTGGAGGTACATCCTTCCCAAGTAACCCTCTGTGCCCTACAATCTAAGATACTAGCCAACACTTACTGAGCACTTCCTATGTGTACCACCTCAAGAGCTTGCCACTTAATATACTCCGATGACATGGTGTTTTCCATGCCCTCTCAGTCTTCTTTGGGGAAACCTCCTCCATGGAGTGGGGTGGAGATGACAAAGATGGGCGGGTGTATGACTCAGGCTTGACCAGTCAGAGGGACCCAGGATCTCTCTGGCCATAGTGATTGCTTCAGGGATGACCATGTGGTCTAAGCCTGGCCAATGAGAACTAACCCTGGGGTTTTGGCTGGGACATTTGGGCAGCAGACTCTCCTTTCACTGGGGATGCTAAATGGTGGGATCAAGCCTGGAGCTGCTGAAGAAAAGCAGATGTGAGAATTGACGAAGGAGAGGGAGAAGAATGAGGCCCTGATGACATGCTCTGATTCCCTGGATCCAGCAACAACTGGAGCTAGACCACCCGTGACTGTGGTAGGCTGGATAATGGCCCCCAAAGACATCCAGGTCCTAATCCCCAGAACCTGCGGATATCACCTTAGCTGGGAAAAGGACTCTGCAGATGTGATTAAGGTAGCGGTCTTGAGTTAGGAAGACTATTCTGGAATATGAGGATGTATCCTTGTAAGAGGAAGGCAGAGGGACATCTGACTGCAGAGAGGAGAAGGCAAGACGATGATGGAAGGAGAGCCCGGAGGGATGAGCTATGATGATGGAGGAAGGGGCCACAAGTCAGGAAATAGAGGCAGCTACATAAATGGAAAAGAACAAAGAAATGGAAGCCTCCAGAAGACACCAGGCCTGCTGGCACCCTGACCTGCTGTTGGGTGCCATCAAGGTAATTCCAACTCATAGTGATCCTGTAAGACAGAGTAGAACTGCCCCATAGGGTTTCCTAGGCTGTTAATACAGAAAGAGATGGCCAGGTCTTTCCTCCTGTGGAGCTGTTTAAACTACCGACCTTTTGGTTGGCAGCAGAGCACTTAACCTTTGTGCCCCAAACTTCCTCAGCCTAGTGAAACTGGTTTCAGACATCTGACCTCTAGAACTGTCAGACAATAAATTTATGTTGTTTTAAGCCACTGAGTTTGTCGTCATTGGTTACAGCAGCCACTGGAAACTCATACATTGACCTTTCAGTGTCAGCTAGCTAGATTTGGATTCCTGTCACTTGCAACCAAGAGGTAAGAGTGATGCAGTGCCCCCATGGAAACCACATACACACACGACACACACCAACCTCCAATGTGAAGCACATTCAGTTGGTATGGTGATAAGGCAAAAACTGTGAGTATGGCAGGCTGGACCCTGCAGAACTGGCTAAGAGCTCAGGCTCCAGAATCTGACCTTGGGTGCTTGGGTCCTGGATCCAACCACTCCCCAGCTGTGTGACCTCAGTAGTCTGCTGGTAAACAGAGATAATAACTCAACCTGCCTTACAAGTGAAAGGGTGAGGTGTGGAGAAATGAGATGCTTTGTTTAAAGTGTCTGGTACAGTGCCTGGCACACATGTTATTTTTAATTATTGTGCTAAGAGTCATAAACTCAACATTTTGGTGGCAAGGTAATTTCTATGGGGCAGAGAAGGGGCAGGTATCTGCCTGCAAAGAGTACTAGGGGGAGGAGAAGCACCTGGAACTTGAGCTTGACTTTTGAGAACAAAATTGGTTGTGACATCTCTGGACCCTTGGTAGGAAGGCAGAAGCTGGAAGGAATGGTATTTCCAATATTTTGAACAGATTTCTTTTTACAAAGGAACAGGCTTGCATGGATGTTTGAGAATAGGGTCTTTGCTGGGAGATTATGGGAAAACATTACACTCATTAATTTTTTCAAGATATATAAAGGTAACCTGGTTGATACAGAGATGTGTGGAGACTCTCTGGCTTGAAGGAATTGAAAGAGATTGCTTTACGGGGCAGAGAGAATGGCATGGGGCAGGTTGGGTGCTATGCAGGGAGCTGGGCTAGAAACTGTGAGCAGGGGTTGGTGGCAGGAATGATGCGGCCACTATTCCCTCCCTGGTCCCCTGAGCGGGCTTTGAACTGGAAGGAAGTTTAGTGAAAGATGACAGGTTTGTCCTCAGTGCCCTTGGCACACTCTGGCCCAGGGGCTGCTTTGCAGCAAGTGACTCAGAGTCCAAGAGCTGCTGTTTGGGTCTCTGCACAGGACTTCATACCTCTGTGGTGCCCAGAGTCTGACAGCTCTGGAGGAGCCAGTGACAGTGCTCTGGGCAGGAGCCACGGCGTGTTCTGATGGGCCTGGATAGCAACGGCAGCAGGGAAGTCCACCAAGTGGCTTTTGAGGGATCAGTCATGGGCAAATGGGAGTTGGAGTAGATGGTGAAGATGGCAGCCTCTAAATGGTGACCTAGTGGAGAAACTCTTTGGGCAGTGCTGGGAAAAGAACTGGCCAGTCTCCAAACATTTCCCTATCAACCAGGTTACTTTTAAATGAAAAACCCACCGCCATTGAGTTGATTCTGACTCATAGAGACCCCCACTGGGTTTCCGAGGCTATAAATATTTACAGAAGTAGACTGCCTCACCTTCCTCCTGCAGAACAGCTGGTGAGTTTGAACCACTGACCTTCTGGTTAGCAGCCAAATGCCTTACCACTACCCCATTACACATCTAAAACATTAATAAGGGCAGGGGTTTCCTATAACCCCCAGCAAAGAACCTATTCTTAAAGACCGTGGGTCGGCACTCTTGAGTCAGCAGATTTCTCATATGTAAATGTTTTCCACTCATCCTTCCTCATCCTTTTCTCTTTATGTCCCCAGGATCCTAAGGGATGTCTGGAAGTCTCAGATCTAATTGCTCTCTCCCTTCTCCAAGAGCGAGTGCCTTCCTAAAGAAGCAGAGCACTAGGGGACTCCTTAAATGCAGAGAATCTTGGGCTGTGCTCCCTAAAACAGTAGCAATTAGCCACATTCGGTCATTTATATTTAAATTCATTAAAATGAAGTAAAACTGGAAACTCAGCTCCTGAGTCCTGTTTCATATGTTTAATAGCCATAGCATGGCTAAGGATATGGTGGTGCAAACGGTTAAGGGCTCGGCTGCTAACTGAAAGGTTGGTGGTTCAAACCCACCCAGCAGCTCTGTGGGAGAAAGAGCTGGCATTCACCTTGTGTAAAGATGACAGCCTAGGAAACCCTATGGGACACTTCTATTCTGTCACATGGGGTCACTATGAGTGGAAAATGACTCGATGGCATACAGCAACCACCACCACAGCAAGTGACTGTTGTCCTAGATGCTCAGATGTAGAACATCTCCTTCATTCTAGAAAGTTCTGTTGGGCAGCGCTGCTCCAGAGGGATAAAGAGACTGGGCTGATAGTGTCTCTTTCATGTTGCTAACATTCATTAGGGAAGAGTTTGCAAACTGGCCTGGAGATCTATTTGGCCCACTCAGTCCTTAAAATTGTTTTCTGAAACAATGGCCGACATGAAAACTCAGGGGAGGCCCCTTCCCTGCTCCAGATTTTCAGCTACTCTTGAGAATCCACACACTGCAGCTCTGTGGGGGTCCAGTCCTCTAGCCCAACAACCCAACCATCTTCAGAATTGAACTGCAGCTGCCTCCTTTGTCCATTTCCACTTCCCTCAGTCTCCACTGGGTTTGTGTCACTTTCCATTATCCAGTTACTTGACCCCCACAGGTCTCGGTTTGAGGTCTCTGATCCCCAGATCCCCAGTGTCTTATGCAGATAGATGCACCCCGCGACCAGCAATCCTGATACGCTAATGAACACTGCATTGAAAAACCCACGTTGCCTTTACAGGCCCAGATACAGAGAAAAAGTTAGTAGTGGATAACATCCGGCCTCCCTCTCCACGTTGCTCTGCCTGAAAATAGAAACAGTCCCCTAGCCCCCAGCCCTTCCTCAAGCTTGACAGCTGCTGGGGGTCCTGTGCTCAGGCCCCTGGGCGGGCTCCATGTGCTTTCCCTGATGTCATCCGACAAGCATTTGGGAGGCTCTGTTTTTCTCATTTGCAAGGGGATTGTTGGGGGTGCTAAAGTGTGACAACGGTAGCGATCACATTTCGGATTTAATAAAATACCATGACGCTCAGCGAGACGCTACCTCATACTCCACCAGCTGACCTGGATCGGGTTACCGCTGAGCTGGCAACGAGAGAAGCTGGACAGGGCACAGGACGGGAGATGGGGCTGGAGCTTTTGGGGCAGAGAATCCTATGCCACACAAGTCAGTCTGCAGACACTCTCTGCTGCCCAGGTACCGGGTAGGCCCTCTGGGACGCAGAGGAGACCTGTCCGCACAGACTCACTTTTCGCAGCCAGTGTGCTTCTGTGATTGACTTATTTCACTCAGCATAATGTCCTCCAAGCTCATCCACATTATGCAGTGTTTTGCAGATTCTATATTATTCTTTAGTGTTGGATAGTATTCCATTTGCCTTTCTCCTGGGCCCCAGCTTGAGTGTCCTGGGGCATCTGGGCTGGACCAGATGGCAGAGACAAAGGCGGGGGAGGTGTCAATGGCTTTAGACACAGTGTGAGGTGCAGTGGGGCCC